ACTAAGCACTACCAACTACTCCCTATTCACTACTCAATAATCACTACTCATTACCCACTACCCACTACCCACTATCCACTACTCACTACTAACTACTGATTGCCCACAAATCACTACTCACTACCCACTACTCGCTACTCCCTACGCCCAACACAATACTGACTACACAGTACTCGGTACTCGCTACTCGCTACTCCCATACTCGCTAGTCAATACTCACTATTTTCTCCCCGCTACTCACTATTCACTACTCACTACTTACTACTCCCTACTCACTAGTCACTACATAGTCTCTAGTCCCTAGTCACAACTAACTCACTAGTCACTAGTCACTAGTCACTACTCACTACCTACTACCCACCAATCGCTACTCACTACCCACTATTCGCTACCCACTTCTTACTACTCACTGCTCACTACTCCCTACTCCCTACTCCCTACTCAGCACTCACTACTCACTGCTCACTACTCGCTACCCCCTACTCGTTACTCACTAATCACTACCCACTACTCACTACTGACTACACTCTACTCACTACTCACTACTCACTACTCGCTACTCACTACACATTACCCACTGCCACCACCCACTACTTTCTATGCACTATTCATCACTACTCAGTACTCACTACGCACTGCATACTACTCAGTACTCACTACTCACTACTCACGATTCACTACCCACTACTCACTACTCGCTACTCGCTACTCACTACTCACTACTCACTACTCGCTACTCACTACGCACTACGCACCACCCACAACTCACTACTCACTAATCACTACTCGCCACCCATTACTCACTACCCACTACTCACTTTCCAGTACTCATTACTCCCTACTCCCTACTCAGTACTCGCTACTCGCTACTCGCTACTCGCTACTCACTACTCTCAACTCACTACTCGCCACTCACTACTCACTTATCAGTACACACTAATTACTCACTGTTCACTACTCACTACTCCCCACTCCCTACTCCCTACTCGCCACTCACTACCCACTACTCATACTCACTACTCACTAAGCACTACCAACTACTCCCTATTCACTACTCAATAATCACTACTCGTTACCCACTACCCACTACCCACTATCCACTACTCACTACTAACTACTGATTGCCCACAAATCACTACTCACTACCCACTACTCGCTACTCCCTACGCCCTACACAATACTGACTACACAGTACTCGGTACTCGCTACTCGCTACTCTCATACTCGCTAGTCAATACTCACTACTTTCTCCCCGCTACTCACTATTCACTACTCACTACTTTCTACTCCCTACTCACTAGTCACTACATAGTCTCTAGTCCCTAGTCACAACTAACTAGTCACTAGTCACTAGTCACTACTCACTACCTACTACCCACCAATCGCTACTCACTACCCACTATTCGCTACCCACTTCTTACTACTCACTGCTCACTACTCCCTACTCCCTACTCCCTACTCAGCACTCACTACTCACTGCTCGCTACTCCCTACCCCCACTACTCACTACTGACTACACTCTACTCACTACTCACTACTCGCTACTCACTACACATTACCCACTGCCACCACCCACTACTTTCTATGCACTATTCATCACTACTCAGTACTCACTACGCACTGCATACTACTCAGTACTCACTACTCACTACTCACGATTCACTACCCACTACTCACTACTCGCTACTCGCTACTCACTACTCACTACTCACTACTCGCTACTCACTACGCACTACGCACCACCCACAACTCACTACTCACTAATCACTACTCGCCACCCATTACTCACTACCCACTACTCACTTTCCAGTACTCATTACTCCCTACTCCCTACTCAGTACTCGCTACTCGCTACTCGCTACTCGCTACTCACTACTCTCAACTCACTACTCGCCACTCACTACTCACTTATCAGTACACACTAATTACTCACTGTTCACTACTCACTACTCCCCACTCCCTACTCCCTACTCGCCACTCACTACCCACTACTCATACTCACTACTCACTACCACTCACTACCCAATACTCACTACTCACTACGCACTAACTCACTACTCACTACTCACCACTCCCTACTCCCAACTCCGTACTCCCTACACGAGGGGGAGGGGGGTCCGAACCCCCCCCACCCTTTTCCAGCGGCAAGGGGGGAAGGGGGGGGGGGTCCGGACCACCCCTCCCCCCTTGAAGGAGGGAGGGGGGGGGGGAGGGGGTTCTAGACCCCCCCCCCTTTAGCGTATTCAAGGAGATCCACTGGCGCACTTTCCCCACCCCCGAGAGGTCCCCAAGAAGCTTTCACGAAGCTCCCAGGACCCCCCCAGGAAGCCACGAGAATGCCCCAAGAGGCCTTCTCCTCCTCATCCTTATTGTCTCTCTCTCATCCACCGTCGCCTCCTCCTCCTCCTCCTCCATTCTTGATCCTTGTAAATAACTTCTCCCGTTCTCACCCCGAAGCCAATTTTTAGGGCGGGTCAGGCGTTTTGCCCAAGACTTTCAGCCGGTGGACATAATATCGTAAATTATCGGAACATTCTAAGAAGCAGCGTGCCAACTAGGATCAGATTCCATCGATCTCTGAGGACCCCCCCATTCCCACATGTCAACGTTGACTTGCATCATTTTGTCCTCCGAGACGGGGGGTGCCTCACCGACGCCAACATTGACATGTAGGAGGCAGGGGGGGTGGCGTCGAGATCCTGTCGCTGTCCATGTGCAGCCGCATGCGTCCACCAGCAACTCGCATTTTTTCGTCCACCCACCGTTCCTCACCATGTATGACTCTGAAGCTTAAGCACTGGCAGCAGCTTCACAGGAGGGCGGGCCGTTTTCAAAATGTGGTTCTAGCCTGAACGTCGCGCAACTTCGTTTGAAACATTTGCAAGAATTTCACGGATTGATGGCGAATCGTTTTCAACATGTGGATTTCGTCTTAGCGCCGCGCGCATTCTTTTCAACATGTTGCAAGAATTTCACAGATTGAGGGCGGTTCCTTTTCAAAATGTGGCTCTCGCCTCAGCGCCGCGCACACTCGTTTATATAATTTGCAAGGGTTTCGCGGATTCCCATGATCAGCGTACCAGAAATTGTGTTTGGAGGATCGTCAAGGCGCAAAGGTCAGGTTGTTCCGTGGCGTTGGAATCCCGAGAACAATGTTTTGGCATGTTTTAAGGTCTTCAAACGGTTGTCTTTCAACGAGGCAGTTCCCTCAATGGAAATGAACCGTCGTAGGGGCCTATGAAGAGGGAAGATGTATTCCAACATCGTTGATGGCTCTTGGATTTACACTGGTCCTCCTCCTCCTCGTTTCTCGTTTCTCGTTTTTTTTTTTTTTTTTTTTTTTTTTTTTTTTTTTTTTTTTTTTTTTTTTTTTTTTTTTTTTTTTTCTCTCCTGTTAGGCTAACCTTCGCCGAAGGCTGTGGCGTGCCTCCTCCTCCTTCTCCTCCTCCTCCTCCTCCTCCTCCTCCTCCTCCTCCTCCTCCTCCTCCTCCTCCTCCTCCTCCTCCTTCCTTCCGCGCGAACGAAAACGAGGTCGGGATCACGACCCGCCCCAATGCAGACTATTCGTCGGAATTGCGCTGGTCCATCTGGGTACTGTTTTCCTCTCTTCTCTGACTCCGTCCAGAAGATAACCTGTTCTCTCCGCGTAGTGTTTTGACACACAAGATTGCGCACGTCTGCTTTTCCCCATTATGGCATTTTAAAATTCCGATTGTGTTCGGTGTTTCAAATTGGTGCTCCCGCTGCAGCCGAGGCATCATTGTCGGATTGGCGCTTTGCTTCTGTCGTTCAGATTTGCGCTCTCGCGACAGGGCGGGCCACTTTTCTGGATCCGAATTCTTTTTCATCGTTGTCGCCCCCCTCATTTCCCTTCCTCCGCCTTCCCCTGGTCCTCCTGCTTCTCCAGCTCCTTCCACTCCAGTTCCTGCTGCTGCTGTTCGTCCTTGTCCTCCTCCTTCCACATTATCATCCTCTTCCTGCCTCCCTTCCTCCTGCACATCCTCTTGCTCACACGCTACCTCATCCTCCTCCTCCTGTGGGCGCAGCTCCCCTTCTCCGATGGCGCATGACACGATAAAAGGGGTCATGTTTGGAGCTCCAGGTCGGCTACGACACGCGCCCGCGGATAGAGACAAAGCATGCCAATGGGAAGCGATGGAAGGGAGGGATCGGATGCTGGATGTGGCGCGAGCGCACCTAGCTTGTCTCCGCCCGCTCCTCCTCCTCCTCCTCCTCCTCCTCCTCCTCCTCCTCCTGCGTTTCTGTGTTTCTCGCTCCGAGCAGCGTCTCGCATGCGCCCGGAGCGCGCAGCGCGCCACAGCAACCCACGAGGGCCGTGCGGGCACTCAGACGACGGCCCCGGGGAACCCGACCTCGAGGAAAGAGAGAGAGGGAGAGAGGACCAGGGACAAATAAATACCTCGGAGGAGGAAGGGGAAGAGGCCGGGTTTAAAAAAGGAGGCCCGAAAGGGCCCTTGGACGGGCGCCGCGCGCGCCCTCGCCCGCGGGCGTCAGGCAGCGCCCGCGGCGCGGCGCTCCCTCCTCCTCCTCCTCCTCCTCGTGCTCATGCTCCTCCTCTTCCTTCTCTTGCTCCTACTCCTCCTGCTGCTCCACCTCCTTCTCCTCCTCGTCGTTCAGCCTAGGCACGGAGCACCAGGCAGCGGCTTGCTGCCAGGGCTGGAAGCCAGGAGGCAGCGTTTAAGCGAGGACAGCAGCAGGATGACAGACGGCCAAACAATGTTGTGTTTCTCCCTTTGGCGGGCAGTCTGATGAAAACTCGCCCTCCTCGCCCTCTGGCCGCCTCCTCCTCCTCCTCCTCCTCCTCCTCCTCCTCCTCCTCCTCCTCCTCCTCGTCGCTTTCTACCTCCTCCCCTGCGCGAGCTCGACTACGAAATGCAGTCCTGCGCTCCTGCGCGTCCTGCTGCGAATCGGGGGGCCCCAGGTCGGGTGCAGGCACGCCTGCTGGCGTCGCGGGCACTTCGGTTTGCGCCCTGTCTGTCCTTGTCCCGCTCTCGCCCTTGCCCGCGGCGTCTACCATCCTCATCTTCTTCTGGATGCTGTCCACGATCTCCTGGGCCACTTGATGATGCAGGGGGAAAGGCGTAACATAGCGATATTCACATACACACATAACGAGAAAGAGAGAGAGAGAGATAAACAGCAAACAGAGAAAGAGAGAGATAGAGAGAAAGCGATCTATATATATACACATACACATAGAGAAAACATACACATAGAGGAGGAAGGGAGAGATAGAGAGAGAGGGAGAGGGAGGGAAACATATATATATATATATACATAGAGAGAGAGAGAGAGAGAGAGAGACAGGTGGAGATAGAACGGGAGAAAGAGAGGGAGAGAGAGAGAGAGAACGAAAGAGAACGCGGGACGCTGTCGCTTCAACGCGAGGACCCAACACCACAAGATGGCGGGAACATGTTCTTTTTATATGGAAGCGTCCCGACCTTCCGGATGCGGTGGCTTCTTGCGCGGTCGCAATTCCAAGCGGCCCCCAAGCGGCTTCGAACCGCCTGCAAGAGAGAGGGGGCTGGTCGAGAGGCGAGGGGCCCTTCGCAAGCGTCACAAAAATAGTTCATGTTCTCGGGGCCTTGGATGCCTGTCATCAGGGCGGCGTTGTCGCATGATCGATGACTGACGATCGAAGATCGATGGGAGCACGGCGGAGGAGGAGGAGGAGGAGGAGGAGGAGGAAGAGGAGGAGAGCGAGAGAGAGAGAGGACCCGATGAGAGACGAAATGCCCATCGCAAGCGCAATGACCACAATTTTTGACGTTTCGGGGACGCCGCCGACACCTGTCTTCCGGGCGGCGTTCTCGCAGGATGGACAATTGCGGTCGAAGATGGTTGCGGGACACGAAGGAATATATCGAAAGATCGGGGTCCACAACGGAGAATGCGGGAAGAGGGAGAGGAGAGGAAGAGGAGAAGGAGGAGAAGGATAAATACTATATGAACAGCAACACATTAAGCGTCTTCCAACGATAAGGCATGATCTCGGCATCCACGGGCCCTAAGGGGTCGGCGGTGTGGCGTAAACTAATGACTCACATGCAAAGGGCTTCGGTCGAGCTCCTTGGGGCCACGAATCGCGTGAGGGGTGTCGAGAACCACATGCAACCCCCTCTTCCGGCAGCTTCGGTTGCTCTCCCCATGGGGCCACACAGCGCGTGATGGGCGTGGAGAATCATATGCACCCCCCCTCCTGGGGCCTTCGGTAGAGCGCCCTATGGGGCCACGAAGCGTGTGAGGGTGTGAAGAGCCACAGGTAACATCCCCCTTTCTGGGACCTTCGGTATAACGCCCTATGGGGCCACGAAGCGTTTGAGGGGTGTGTGGACAACCACATGCAAAAACCCCATCTGGGGCCTTCGGTAGATCTCTCTTGGGGCTACGAGGACTGTATGTGGAGAGCCACATGCAAAACCCATCCTGGGGGCTTCGGTCGAGCTCCCTATGGGGCCACGAAGCGCGTGAGGGGCATGGAGAAACACTTCCCCCCCCCTCTCCCCCGTCGTGGGGGCTTTGGTAGAACTCCCTACGGGGCCACGAAACGCGTGAGGACTGTGGAGAACCACATGCAAACCCCTCTCCTGGAGCCTTTGGTAGAGCTCCCTATGGGGCCACGAAGCGTGTGAAAGATGTAGACAACCACATGCGAAATCCCCTTTTGGGGGCTTCGGTGGAGCTCTTCATTGGTCCACGAAGCGTGTGAGGGGCGTGGAGAACTGTGCATTCGATAAGCAGAAGCAGGGATGGGGAGGGAGGGGGGGGAGAAGGCGAGAAAGGATGCGGGCGCATTCTCTTCAAAACGAAAACCCAGCGCCACATGATTGCTTGGAGCAAAAGAGATAAGATGCCGTGAGACAGAGGCAGAGAGAAAGAGAGAGAAAGAGAAAGAGCGAGGCGGAGGAGAAGAGTGGATTCCCCTTGGAGCTGCTCGCGCACCGAGCTCTAAGCACTGCCGGGCACACCCAGTCGTTCGGCCCCACCAGCAGGGCCCCGCAGCAACACTCGCTCATATCCCGACACAGGCCCCTGCAACGGTTCATTTACACTGAGGGAACTGCCTCGTTGGAAGACATCCGTTCGAAGACCCTGACGCATGCCAAAACATTATTCGCGGGATTCTAGCGCCACGGAGCAATCTGACTGTTGCGTCTTGACGATCCAGAATCGCGCCAGAACGCCATTCCTGGTACTTTAACACGCGAAACAACGTAACTGGTTCACCCTGATAATCCTGAATCCTTCCAGAACGCCATTGCTGATACGTTGATCATGAGAACCTACTGAACTCTTGCATGTAAAAAAAACGAATGTGCGCGGCGCTAAAACGAGAACCACATTTCGAAAAGGAGCCGCCCTCAATCCGTGAAACTCTTTCAGAATTTACAACGAATGCACGCGGCGCTAAGGCGATAACCGCATTTTGAAAACGGCCCGCCCTCAATCCGTGCAACTTTTGCAGATGCAAAAACGAATGTGCGCGGCGCTGAAGCGAAAACCACGCTTTGAAAACCAATCGACCTCAAACCATGAAGCTCTTGCACATTTTGAAACGAGTGTGCGCGGCGCTAAGGCGAGAACCACATTTTGAAAACGGTCCGCCCTCCACCTGTGAAGGTGTTGTCAATGTTTTAGCTTCAGGGTCGTAAATGGTGAGGAAGTCTCAAGCGAGACGCCCAGCCCGCCCGAAAAACTGGCCTCGGGGAGCGACACTGAGAAATTAGGTATAATAAAAAATATGGAGGAGGAGGAGGAGCAAGAGGTGGAGGAGGAGGAGGAGGAGAGACCTAGTGTCAACCCAAGAATCATCAACGATGTTGGAATAAACCCTCCCTCCAAGCTCCCTTTTCGTAGGTCCCTGCAGTGGTCCACTTCCACTGAGGGAACTGCCTCGTTGGAAGACAGCCATCTGAAGACCCGGACGCATGTCAAACACCACGGATCAACCTGACTGTTGCGTCTGAACGATCCTGAATCGTGCCAGAACGCCATCCCTGGGACTTCAACACCGCGAAACAAGAGTAACTGGTGCACCCTCAAAGCCCTGAATCCTTCCAGAACGCCATTTCTGATACGTTGATCATGGGAAGCCGTTGAAATCCTGCAAGGTTTAAAACCGAATGTGCGCGGCGCTAAAGCGAGAACCACAGTTTGAAAACAAGCCGCCCCCAATCCGTGAAATTCTTGCACATGATTAAAACGAGTGTGCGCGGCGCTACGGCGAGAACCACATTTTGAAAGCCAGTCGCCCTCCATCCGTGAATCTCTTGCAACTTTTAAGACGAATGGGAGCGGCGCGAGGGCGAGAGCCACATTTTGAAAACCACCCACCCTCCATGTGTGAACGTGTGGCCAATTTTTGAATTTCAAGGTCATACGTGGTGAGGGAGCATCAGGCGCAACGCCCGGCCCGCCCTACAAACTGGCCTCGGGGTGCGACAAAGAGAAATTATGTTTTAAGGAAAGGAATGAAGGGGGAGGGGGAAGGGGAGGGGGAGGAGGACGAGGATGAGGAGGAGGAGGAGGAGGAGGAAAAGGAGGATACTTTCTGGCTGCGCAAGTGGTCCTCCCAAGGGGTGTCAGTCACTGTTGGGGGAGCCTTCGCGGGCGTGGTGGGAAAGAGGAGGAGGAGGAGTAGGAGGAGGACACAGATACATGCCGCATGGCTCGACCTGGTACGAGCGCTCCGAGTGGAGGGCGGGGAGACCGAGGACCCCGACCGGGCCTCCAGAGGCCTCCGGTGGCCGAGGCGGGCGGGACATTGGACAGGACGTGACTGGTGTCATGGTAGGATTGGCTGAGCATGCGTTCGAAGATTTCCAGAAGTATCGAACATCAGGATATCTGGGGAATCTAAGAAACCTTGGAGCGTCTCATCCCTGCCTCAGGACCTGCTGCTCCTCTGAGGGGAAGGATGGAAGCACGCGAAGGCCCCCGACACGGCGCAGGCAGCCGGCGACTCCGTCGAAACCGTGCAGGCATGTCGTGGCAGGCGTGCTGGCCAGCGCACGATGCCACGGTGCCCCTCACGCACCGCCCGGCAGAGTGTCCCGGGGGGTGGATCGGGGGAGGCCTGTCCTGCTCTGCTGCCACCGGCAGATCTTCGTATCGAGCTTCGCTCAAGTAACGGACTTCCCTTCGAGCCCCGTGTGTGGACCAACCGCTCCTTTGGATTTCTTGCATCCCTTGGCAGCCACGTCAGCAGTGCTGTTTTTGTGTGTCCCGACTGCTGCTGTTTTTGTTGACACTCTCCTGGACAATACAAATCATCCTACCCGCGGAAGATCCTCCGATCAGAGATGGCAGGCGGCACACCAAGAGGGCACAGCGACAAATAGAAACACGTCGCTGAGTGCAGCCTACCAGACGAAGCCAACTACATCATTGGACAACCCGCACCCGCCATCGTGCCCTCAGCACGTTGGCGTATTTGAGGCAGCCTGTTCGCCGTCTGGTAAGGTTTCGGGCTCTTCCACGCCCAACTGCGTGTTGGGCCCTCGTTTTGAATCCGCAGCGCCGCGCGCCTCCATCCTTCCCCCCCGCTCCCTCCCCCCCTGCCTCCACTCCCTCTCCTTGCCTCTGCTCTCTCCGCAGCGGACGCCGCTCACGCCATCGCAGCCTCGTTGGGTGCGCTCCGCCCGCGGTCCCGCTTGACGGAGGGGCGCATGGCGCCCGCTCCGCCAACTTCGGCACGCCCCTCGCGAGAACCGTGGCCCCATACACTCGACCAGGATAGGAAGGATGCGCGGTAAAGATGCAGGGGCCTCGGAACGCCATGTTGACGTTTTCCGTGCGGAGCGCAGCAGAATGCCGAAGGATGCCGAATACCGAGGGGGCAAGGATGCAAGGGTAGCCTTGGAAAGTTGCCCAATCCTAACTACCATGGTTGACTGTAATGGGACCCACCCGCGGTCGCAGCGGGCGCAGGACGCAACGCATGGCTCCCGCGCGCCCAATCGGGAGCGCCCCTCACGAAGCTCGTGGCCCCATACTTCGCAGTTGCGACAGTGCGGCCGGAATTGGACTTTTCCCGTTCGGCGGCGG